ACTTAAAATTTCATAGGACCAACTGCTTGTAATTGAACTTATTTTAAACTTTCACCTAATGAAAGACAAATATGTACTTTACTATAAGATAATCCATTAAAAGATCTGGAAGTTATTTAACTTATATTATGGTATTACTAAAGAACTCATTAGACAGCTCCTCCTTAATATTCTGTAACAGAGTATAGAAAATATTCTAAAAAAAACATTTATATAAATCTGATACAAAAAAAAAGAAACTGAGTTAGAGAAAACTATAATTTTTGGTATAAATGAAAAATCCATTTGATAATTCTTTTTTTTTTTTTTTTTTTTGGTTGCTAGGTTGGTGCCCCTGTGATCTGAATGCTGCATCAACATCATTTAATAAGCTCGTGGATCTCGGTGTCTGGATGACAATGGAGAAAGTCTTGTCTATGCTTTAAAAACATTCAAGTTGCTTCTCTCACAGGAAATCCACATTTGATCTCTCAGCTGTGCCATTTTGAAATATCATGTGTCACCAGAAGACTCCAGGATAAACTGCCTAAGACTATCCATCCTTGCACAAGGCAGAGAAAGGAGAGAAAATAATATGTAATAAAATAGCTCTCCTGGTAATGGGAAAACTAAACTGACATCAGAATTGGGACAAAGCTTTGCTGACATCACAAGTTTGGCTTAATACCTAGTGCTCTCTCAACATATTCAGTCCAAGTCCATCCACACAACCTGACATCTCTCATGAGGTGTACCAAAAACCCAAATGTTTTTCCATATGCTCCTTTTTCTTATAACACCAAGCCACCTTTTCATTTATGTTGATAATATACTGCAAAAAAGTCCCAGGGAAGGGATGCCTGGAACTATGTCCTTAAGAACATGAGATGTAGGGGATCCCTAGGTGGCGCAGCGGTTTGGCGCCTGCCTTTGGCCCAGGGCGCGATCCTGGAGACCCGGGATCGAATCCCACATCGGGCTCCCGGTGCATGGGGCCTGCTTCTCCCTCTGCCTGTGTCTCTGCCTCTCCCTCTCTCTCTCTCTCTCTCTCTGTGACTATCGTAAATAAATAAAAGTTTTTAAAAAAAAAAAAAAAAAAGAACATGAGATGTAGCAATATATCTAAAATATTCCAGGAATTCAAAGTCTTGACTTTAAATGACATAATTCTGTACTTAATAATTTTCTATGAAAAGACCAGAAATGTTTAAAAGCCTGTAAAATACTGAGGAGGTGAAATATTTCTTCAAATATACATTTTTTCCTTTGGTGTAACGAAATTAATACTTAATAAGAATCTCCCATTTTTTTATGAGGCCTAAGAAATCTTTTGGTTCATTTTAAGCCACATCTTTCACACTCAGAATTTTCTGGTTCAGTTGGAAATACTTTTCAGAAGTCTGAACATACAGTTCAATTAATTGTTCTGAAATGTGTGCATGTGGGAAGAACTTTTTGCTTACGAGACCATTCAATAATTCATATATTTAAATCATCATCTCCAAAGCAAATTTTCCAAAATCAAATAAATTGCAAAACACAAGTAAACTAAGTCTCCAAAAAGGAGTTCCAATCCTCTGCCAAAACAGACTTCAAATTCTTAATCCCTTGTCCAAAAAAATTGGACCAACTATTGACGTTTTCCACCAAGCAAGCCACATAGCCACAAATGTTTCTCATTTACTCTACTCCTGGGACATACAGCTCAAATAAAAAATTTCCTGAATACCCCAAATTTCAGATACAATTTGGAATGTAAGTGATTCATAATGTTATTCAGGAAACATTATGATCTTCTCCTACCAACTCAATGTTTCTGGAATGCAACCCTCAGGAGATTATTCCGCCAAATCAAAAGGCTGACATCACTGTCAGCCTTGTGACCCAACTATAATGTCCTCTGCCCCCAGCTCAGATGTGATTCTGAACCCTGAACAGTCTGCTACTCCAGCTACCGTTCAAGTAAAAAAGATGTTCTGCCAAGGGAGTGAACAAAGATCCATACTGTGTTCTGTGGCAAGTAACACAGAGTGCACTCGATCCCACTCTAAGGAAAAGCCAAAATAACGTTAAAAGGAATTAAAGACACTGTCATCACTTGTGCACAAAAAGACTCTCACAGTGGCCTCTGAACAGATTCTAATTAATTCGAGTATGAAACTTCACAGAGCTTCTAGTTAATGAATCCTATTCCAATCCTACCCCCACTTCACCTCCTCTTAAATCAAACAATAATTTCTGGGAGTATCAAAGTTGCCAACAGTCATTTCTATAGATTCGTACTCTATTTCAAGGAAGGAAGCACACCTGACATAGCAGAAGACAGGTACTACACTGAATGACCGAATAACCGGGAGAACCGTGAGAGACTTTGCAACACTGGCTACTAAACAAGAGAGACAGGGATCCCTGGGTGGCGCAGCGGTTTGGCGCCTGCCTTTGGCCCAGGGCGCGATCCTGGAGACCCAGGATCGAATCCCACATCGGGCTCCCAGTGCATGGAGCCCGCTTCTCCCTCTGACTATGTCTCTGCCTCTCTGTGACTATCATAAATAAATAAATAAATAAAATTAAAAAAAAAAAAGAGAGACATGCAGGTGGTTTCCATATAAAGAAATACATAAATAGGGCCTCGAGGAGTGATGTGGGTAAAAAAAAGTAGAGATAAACACCTACCGACATAGTATTCCATTACCTAAAGGGATCATTGCAAGCAAAATATACAGTTAAAGGGAACTCAAAGCTGAGCAGGCAATACCTTGGGAGTCTGGGCAAACGCAGAGTGTTATAGATGATACAGAAATAACCACCAATAGGAAGAAAGGTCACAAACAAAAGGCATCTGAGCAAAGGTTAGAGTTACTATTTAAGCATAAGGAGAAAAAAAATGTAGTTTAAACAGAATAACATTCTCTAAAACACATAATAAAGAAAGAACACAAAACAGTGGGTTTGCCTAAAGTAAATTCCATGAGTCTACATGTAGGCTTTTTGATATCAGTAACATTCACAAGGAGACACTTGAACTGAGTTTGTAAATTAAAATTCTGAGGTCACGCTGGAGGTGCTGTAAGAGGACTGCATCAGGAAGCCATAAAAAATACAAAATGCTTGGAAAAAAATTAATGTATACACATTTAAAAAGATCAGTTGAAATTTGTGGTTGGATCAACGTATGTCATGAATAACCTAAAAGTGGCTTTAGTATCTCCAGCTGCCAAAAAGATCCTATTTTCCACCCAATCTAGCCTTTTGGTAAGAGGCATCTCTCATTTATCTAGACAAAAAAAAGACAGTAATTACATTGGTTATCCAATGCTTATCTGTATGGAAAACTTTTGTTAGCTAATAACATCAGGGAATGGAATATTCTAGATGACTATCCTTTCTGGTTACTTTAAAACCTAATTCTGTGTATTTTCCCTCTTGTGACTGTGGGCTTTACACTCAGAATTGAGTGAAATCAGCAAAACTCTCAGCAAATTATTAAATGTACAGAGTCTTTCTGATCAGAGTAAATGACATGATGTACAATGAAGCTTCTAGAACAATACACATGGTAAATTCTTTTTTTTAAAGATTATTTATTTATTTACTAGAGACAGAGAGAGAGAGGCAGAGGGAGAAGCAGGCTCCATGCAGGGGGCCCGACATGGGACTTGATCCCAGGTCCCCAGGATCACGCCCTGGGTGGAAAGCAGCGCTAAACTGCTATGTCACCGGGGCTCCCCACACATGGTAAATTCTTAAATAAATATTAGTTCCCTTTTTCTTTTCCTTCTCTCTCACTTCTGCCAACCATAGCTTTGCTTTTTCTTTTTGCAGCTTAGGTACCAGGAGCTGTGCTTTCACATGCAATCAACCAATTTCCCAATAAATTGCAATGTTTCTTTGTTCTATTAACCATCTGATCAAGGAGTTTTAATTAGAGGACTCCTCTAAAAACTTTTTGCTTAATTTTTTCTCATCTTGGCTGAATTTCTGCTGAGGAATCATCTAAGTTCAACTCACAGTTTCTGTCAGAGCCCAATGTAATGTGCAGTACTAGGCTAGGAGACAGGCATATGGAATTCAATAAAATACGATTCCTACTGAGGATGGTTAATTTTATGTATTAACTGGACTGGGCCACAGGATCGATCACCAGAGAGTTGTTCAAACATCATTCTGGGTGTTTCTGTGAGGGTGTTTTGGCATGAGATTAACATTTAAATAGATGGACTTGACTAAAGCAAATTGTCCTCCAGTGTGGGTGGGCCTCATCCAATCAGTTGAAGACCTGAACAGAACAACAGGGTGATCCTCCTCCAAATAAGAGGATTCTCCTGCTGGATGATCTTCAAACTAGAATATATGCTCTTCCAGCCTAATAGCATGTAAAGTGGCACACTGGTTCTTCTACGTCAGCCCATGGCCTCTAGACTCAAAGTGGGACAGTTGCTCTGCATATTCTGGACTTGGCCAGTCTCCATAACCACATGAGCCAATTCCTTAGAATACATCTTTCGATAGATAGATATATAAATAGATAGACAGAAAGACAGATATATAGATCTTTTTGGTTCTATTTCTCTGGGAAACCCTGGCTAATACACTATCCTCGAGAAGCTCAAAATCTAGTCATGAGGATATACCCAAGTAAAATTTCTCCATCAAGCCTTTCCCAAATAATAACAAAGAATATTGTCCTATGAGCCAAATAAACCATCAAATAAAGAAACTATCAATAAATGTTCACTGAATGAATCAAAAGTACTTGAAAACAAGATCTACCAAGGACAATATCAGACCATGTAATACGTTCCCTCAAGAATTCTCATAAAGAGAATGATCTGGTGTAAATTTACAACTAGATTTGACTCTTTTCTGCATATGCTGAATAGATGAGTTCTCTGCTTTATGAGTTAGTTACTGTTATTTGATACAGGTCATTGGGAATAAATTTAAAACAGGGAGTGCAGTTATAAATTAGTTCATTCCTCTCACAGTACATAGTACAAATAAGAAGCAAATAAACTTACTTGAATGGCAGCCAAATTCTTCTGCTCCTGAGATGGTGCCTCATGAACAAAGCGAAGCCAGTTGGAGTGTCGTGGGTTGGTAGCATCCAAAATGTATAGAACTTCTCCCTTACTCCCACGAACCTGAAAAATAAAAAGCTCCTGAGTTTGTACATGAAGTTAGAATTAGTCATACTAAACATATCAAGAGTAGGATATGATATTTTCTCATAAGGATACACATTTCTTATTGACAGGTGTTGAATAGATGCTGGATTAACATCCATTCTTCCCCTTAAACATACATACAAATAGAGCCTATTTTATTTGGCAGATGTCTAGATGACTCACAATTGCAAGCAACTCTCAGAAACATCCTGTGTTGATAGCTCTTTTCTGGTTAAAATTATTTGTTAGTAGGTATATTTTAATATACGTGTTGCAACTGCAATTACCCAGGGGACAACCATAATTGCAACCTGTCCCCTTTTTCCCACTGAAGAGGGTGATACTGCTTGGTTCCCAGTTGAGGGGGGTGGAGCTGGAGCAATCCTTTCAATTTCACTCTCCACCTGTTTCCTGAATCATTTCCATATGAGGAGAACTTGCTAATGAAACCAGTAGAATCTGACATCCACTGAGCCACATTTTCACATTTTTAACTAGTAGATAAATAAAATAGGTTCCATTTTGTCTTTTCATGGCCTGCTCATGGCTTGCTGAGGTCTGTGAGCCCTCTGTCTTTTGTTTCATGCCATAAGGCCTCCTGATCATAACCACTCAACATTCAGTTGGAGGGAGAGAGGTAACTGCCAAAGGAGTGGGTAATCCATTGGACATTCTGGAATCCAAGTTGCTTCAAATCAAGCTTCTCCAAGGCCCCAGCGCTGTAGGCTATCAGGCGGTGCTCAGTTTAATAATGCATATATCAATCTGTATCCAACTCACTATGTGTTTAAATTCCACTGGAATCCAGGGTAGAAGGAAAGGAGCGAGTGATTAGCACTTCAGATCTCTAATACCAAGTAACACAAATATAAGAATATAAATTCACCTTTGCAGACCTGGGGTGGGGATAAACAAATTCTACATCTCCAAAATTTCATTTAATAAAATAAAGCACCATCAGCCTAATAAGGTCTGAATTTCCCAATGATCCATTTGGACAATCATGCATTCACTGGACATAATTCACTGAGTCCCTACCATGTGCCAGGTACAACTTAAGGCACTATGAATCTTTCAGTGAACAAGACAGATGGAGATAGACATCGTTGCAGCATTTAAGAACAAACAAGCATAGGATATAACTTCAGGTAAAGATAAGAGCTGTGAAGACAACTCAAGCAGAGTAGAAGGAAGCAGAGTGAGGGGAGCTGAGCAATCTCAGAAGAGATGATACAGCCTCTCTGACCTGAGAGGAGCTCTATAGAAGGCAGGCACCGGCCAGTGGCCAGTGGAGGGCTGGAGATAGAGTGCTCCCACCCAGAGAGAACAGCACATAGAAGGCAATTAGAAAGGCCCCGGGAGTGGCACAAAAGCAACCAAGAAAATGAGGGGCATGGACATCAAACAAACTGCACAGATCCAGCCACATACTGATGTACAGACTAGGAAGCCATCTGCAGAGGTCAAGTTACCTCCAAAAAACTGTTACATCAAAACATCTGCTACATGAGCTCCAAACACTGATATGTCAAGATTTTAGCATATATTGTCCAGAAAAAATACAGTTTGCCTGTTCTGTCTTCATACCATTCACTGCCATGTTTCTCAAACAATTCCTGTTTTCTTAAATGCCAAAGGATCCTCAATAATCATTTTAAAATCTTGCTAACAAAATGCCAGACCTCACTGAGAAGCATAAATTTAATTTTTGATATTATAATTGCTAAAAGAAGAACTCAGGACTATAAACACCTGCTGTTTATATCTCATATGTTTAGGTGAGAAGCCATGGGAATTTGTAACTTCTCACTAGGAAAGCTCATACTGAGATCTCCTTTGGGAGGCACTTGAAAACTGCTATGTTGCTGCTTACCCCTCACTGCCCATTGGGTAACGTCAGAAGTGTCCAGAAACACCGCTGGGATAGATAGAAAAAACCCTCTATACCCCTCCTCAAAGAGGACATCAACTCACTTTTCTTTAAGGACAGTGAATAAATCATTAAATAAATCACGTTAGATAATTGGGTATAAAGTCTCCTTTCCCAGTTCCTCTGTAGCTACAGTAACAAAACTGTTTATCTTGACAAAGAGCTAAATTAAGCAGAACGAATAGCAATGCCATTAGATACTTGAAAGAAAAATTTTCTTAGAATCAGATTTTAAAATCTACAACTGTTCAGCAGAAGGGTGACTGAAGCAGTGGAAGGAACACCCTAAGGCAGGATCCCCAGTCTTTAAAGGGGAATGATGGAAGAGGAGCAGAGGCAAGGCTGGTGATAAATAAGCTACACATTAAAAGCCTGTGAAGACAATGGCCTTTGTAGTTTCCAAGACCTTGGGGTGGGCAGATCAAATGACAAGGTGTAGAGCATGCTCTCTCCCCTTCCACCCCTGCCCCAAGATAACCCCTAGACTCATTATAATGTATCTGCATAATGGGTACAACCCTCTATCCCCCCCACCCCCCACGATGGAGAAGGCTGCCAAACCTCAGAGGGTCAAACTCTCACTCCCAACCTGTGGGAGGAGCTTCCCAAATGACTGGAGGCAGCCTCCATTAAGAGACCACCTCACTGCAGATCACAGCTCCTCCCAGCCCAGAGAGGCCCAGTAATACCCAATCCCAGAACAACCTAGGGGCCAGTTCCACCTCTCACAACCTGCCTATTCTCCCACCTTGAGAGTGTACTTTTTTTGCTTTAATGAACTGCTTTGCGTTTACTACATTCTTTCTGGCTATCTTATTGGAGTGCAGATCCCCACATAAACCTTCTGGGGAATCCAAGGACTGAGACCTCCATTTACACAAACAGACACCCTCATCTGGAACACCACTACTGTGGGAATCCACACAATCCAACTTATTTTATGTAGGGAAACCCCACTGGCTCTGTCAGGGACATATCTCCGTTGGAGAGGATAGCACTACTTACAGAAACTACCTCTAAGTCATACATTTGTCGCCCAGTAGGAAGTACAATATATATCACATGTGTCTGACATTTGGAATTCTTTCCTCAAACATATGAAACATAACAAAGATTTCTCTGGGACTTATTAGAGTAAGCACACTCGACCAGGGGCATCGTTTGCTCTTTGTATATTTCAGCTTTTTCCCAGGCCCTTTCCCTCCAACTAGGTCCCATTATTCAGTATTAGTGACTTATTTCCGGTCCATTAGATGTATGGACTCTGGTTGTCTATAACCATCTCACACCACATCACAGCTTAGGGAGACTAGCAGCATTTAATTTTATATTAAACTTCTGATGAAACCTGTCACTTTCAATACATCCAATTTTACATATCGACTCACGATTACTTACATTCTCATAGCAGCAAGACCATAGACAGCAACGTACTATATAGTTGCTTACATATTTGTAGCTGAGATACTTCTTTTGTTCATGAACAGAACCACTATTTATTTTATTCAAAACACCCTGAACCAAATGACTTCTGAGTTCCTCTCTGCAGGCTACCTGTTCCCTCCAACTCTGAAGTGCCTCGTTCCCCTTCCCAGTCTTCAACACTTCACTGAAGCTGTTAGATCATCTGCTCATGTGATTTGTATCTTCCCACCCCACCCACAGCATTCCCCTCATGAAATATCGAAAAGAGACATTCAAAGATAATCTAAGCCATCCTTCCTCTCTCCAGACAAACCAAATAAAAATTCTCCAGACAGATGGCTACTATTACAGTCTCCATTTATCTATTTTTAATTTGATACCAAACCCTGAGGTAATAAGTTGAACATTTTTAAAGTCTAACGAATAAAGAAGATATTCCTCTTAGTATCATGTTCCAGCATCTAACTAACCTTTGCAGCCAAAGTGTATTTTTTTTTCCTGTCAAAACTGGTCTTCCAAATAGCATCATCTTTTATTTGAATTTTCATGAAGGTGAAGTGTATTGGTTACTGTCCTACTGAAGATCATCTTCCACATGCCTAGGGGCCTGTAATGAAGTGAATGTTCTCATCTTGCAGTAAAAACCATCTCGATCCCAAACCCTGTTTGATTTGCACAGACCTCCTAAGCTAGTTACACAAAAAAAAAGTTAGTTAAGGTGGGGAAGGAAAAGAAAAGAAACCCTCATATAAAAATGAAAACATTCACACTTCCATACAGTTGTTTTCAGTTCTATGAATTTGCCACTTTACATTAAATGAAAATTGTCATTGTGTAGGGATTTCGCAGATTCAACTCTGTTAAATACTACTGACATCACTTCTGAAGTGTTCAAGAAGACATGCTACTATGGACCTGTCCCTTTCTTCAGACCAAAGATTAGTAGTACTAAATATAAGTCACGGTTGATCTTGTCTTCCCACCGGTAAAGAACAGAGGAAATCACAAAAAAAGATTCAGCTCAATAAGAGAAAATCCTAACTTGCAAATAAAAGGAAAAAAATTGGCAATACGTAACCAATATAAATTTTTTCCTTAAATTTAAACATTTTCTGTGTTAAATTGGATCAACTATAGACAGAAGAGCTTATTTATTATTTGGATAATTTTCACAGGAAAAAAATTTACAGTGTTACTTACTCTATTATTCTCCTTTAATTATTCCGAATGTTGGAGGAATTTTTTACTCACTATATAAAAGGACATCAGCAAAGCTAATCAGTCATGTTTGTCTCCGGACATGGCAAAACGTAATCAAGAGAATTTTATTTAACATATGGCAAAATTTAATGGCAGTGAAGTACAGTCAGTTCCAAAAAATATAGCAATAATATCCTGAATGAGAAGTTGCAGTATGTTGTATGATTTATTTATTAAATAAAATATATTTTCCCTTCTGTCTTTCAATAAGGCTTTTTAAAGAAGCTAGTTTTAAGCACTAATATTTAAGGTATAGATATCTTTGGAGTATCTGATGGCATCATATTTTTATATTAAATTACAGGCATTTTTTCCTTTGATTGTTTTTAACTAAAGTTAGGCCAGATGCCCTGCCTTCAGT